CTCCCATTTCCAAGCCAATAATGTCAGGCCAAACCATTCTCACACTGTCACTCTCTGGTTCTCCTTCTGCCTCCCTCTTCCACTAATAATGACCCACTGATTACACTGGGCCCATTTGGATAATAGTCTCCTCTCCACATCTCCAGGTCAGCCGATAACCTTCATTTCATCTGCTACCTGAATTTCTCTTTGCCATGTAATCTAACATATTCACAGGTCCTGGAATTAGGGCATCACTATCTTTGGGAGGCCAGTTTTCAGCCTATCACAGGTGGTAATTAGAGAGAGGGGGAAAGTTGGACATATGCTTAGATTGAATTAGAGATTTATAATAAAGTTAGAGAGGATATATAAAATAATACAGCAATCTGCCTAAGGATGATATTGCTTTCAAATCTACTTCATGTTTTCTCCTAATATAAATATGTGAATATAGGTAATTATTATTTAATCACTATGTTATTAAATATATTTTGGAAATTTTTTTTTTCAGATAATACCCTAAACAATATCCTCATCTATTTAGGGGGATTTTCATAAATGTCTAACTTAGTACTAAGGATATATTATCCAATTTCTAAAAACCATGCTTGTCTTTCACATTCAAATATTCTTATCAGTAGGTGACCAAAGGACCTAAGGGCAACTTTATTTCAGAGTAAATTGCCTGTACTTTATCCCAGTTTTATTTATTTATATGTCTATTTTTTGTACAACAACTATTTTACACTTTCTTTTGGGTTCAGAGTAGTCCTCAAAGTGGCTAAAACTACAATAATCAGATTGCTGAGTAAGGATGGGACCTCACATTTAAAGACCCAGAAACAATCATCCTTTCAACAAAAACTAGGTCTCTTTGGTTTTTTTTTTGTTTTTTGTTTTTGTATTTTATCAGTAATTTTTCCTTAGTAGTCCATTTCATTAAACAAATGTGGGTTAACACCTACTCTGTGCCAGTCATTTGAGATAAGTCATTAATTAATTCAACAAATATTTATTGAGTGCCTATTATGTACCAGGAACTTTTCTAGGTTATTTAAGCTCCTAGGATGGCTAATGTTTTAGTGTGGGACATAAAACAAGGAAAATATATAGTGATAAGCACTGTGAGCCAAAATAAAGAAAAAAGAGGAAGAGAGCATGACAGAGACAATGTGCTCAAAAAAGTCCTCTTTAATAAGGTGACATTTGAGCTAAGATCTGAAAGAGTTGAGAAGTGAGCCATATGAATAAGTTTGAGGAAAGGATTGCAGGAGGAACAATAAGTGCAGTCACAAAAAACTGGAGTATAACCAGCATGTGCCAGAGAAAGCAAAGAGGCCAGTGCAGCTGAAGGGGAGTGAACTTAAGGAAGAGAAACAGAACATTAGGCGAAGGAGGTAAGGGGTGAGGTGGGGAGCAGGTTCTACAGTGTCTTGTACATTGTGAGGATCTGGCAGGAAGAAGAGATGATAAGGACTTGAGCAGGGAGATGACAATGGAATTACTTTCATAAAGTTAGATTATTAAAATCTTGAAGTTTTCCATCTACATTTGGGCTTATCTTTAGTTTGTGTGACACCATGACTAAGTGCTACAACCATTATTTGAGATTTTCTTTCTGCCTGATTACTTTTTTTTCTCCTGGTCCATCTCTGCCCACCACTAATAACATGTGAATTTCAGGTGTACAACTTTATGACATCTGTATACTTGATTACTTTTTAAAACAATTTGTATTTCATTAGTCCTGGGATGCCAGCACGTTTAAAAGCAACCTGAAAGTGCATTTTATCACCCAATATTTTAGGACTAAAGCTTCCCTGTCTGCTTTGTAAACAAATCATTAAGCTAAAAATTAGAGGATAAGTAACTAAAGACTAAACGAGCACAGGGGTATTGTTGATAGCATTAAAAATAATGATAGTAAAAGTCAGTTTCATTCTATTTCCTTATTTTTTTGGCTCTTAAACACTATTATAAATTTGAGCTTTGTTTTGAACAATAAAACTTCTTGTTCTTTCATATTTAATGTTTTAGCTTTAAAAGATCAAAATTGTGATTAAAGATCCTTTTAATACATAAATACTGTACTTATTTGCTCCTATATTTACATACTGATAGACTTGGCAATTTTCAAAACCCTTTAAAACATCCCAACTGTGTAATTATTGGTGATTCATGTCTGTGTTCACATTTTCTATGGGAAACCATTCTCACATTACTGTTCTTATAGTCTTTAAACTAGGGCCATATTGCCAGAATTTTTGGCTTATAAAACTAATTCTGATAAGTAGAAAACCTAGTGAAATAATTTACTTGTGACTGTAGGTACTCTTGACTTTTCAATGAAATCTAAATTTTAATACAGCAGGCCAAAAACTATAGCTATTAAATATGATGTGGAGGATTTCAGTGAGCTTCTTACCATTGGGGTGTTTCTTTTTTTTGCAGTTTATTTTTAATTTTTATATTTTTATTTTTTAAATTATAGTCAACATACAATATTATATTAGTTTCAGGTATACAACAAAAAACTGATTGGACATTTATATAACTTATGGTGATCACCCTGATAAATCCAGCTCCCATTTGACACCATACATAGTTCTTTTGGGAGTCTTTTTTGAAGACACATTCTTTCTCTGGAAAAATAATTTACAATACTGGAGCACCAAACAGTACTTCATCTACTACTATTACATTATTTGCAGGCTTACTGTATAACAAACACATATCCTCTGTGACTAATCCAAAACAACATTGTCTCAACTACCTAGATGGTCATGACTTCTGTGTCTCCTTCTCTAGGGGACTCTCACTGTAGCTCCAGATCTTATTTTTACTTCTCTTCTTTACCTAGTTATCCTGAAGACACTTCAATTTAATATGATGGACTCACTTTGGTCATAAAGATAAACTAAATTTAACCCATAAAGAGAAAACTTAATCAATAAACCTTTTATTTTGTATTTAATTACTGGCAAAACGTAAAATTATCTAAGTCAGAAACCTAAATGCTATTCTCAATGATTCACCCCTCCATCTCATTCAAACAGCTACCAAGTCTATGAAATGTATTTCTAAATTTCTCTCAGATTCAGCCTCTTCCCAATATGGCGTAGTGGAAAGATTAAGGAACCAGACCTAGGTTAAAGTATACAGTAATTGTGAGACTTTGGTTAAATTCTTTACTTTGGCTAGTTTTCTATTTGCTAAAAGGAATATCTCTAATATTGTTAAAGTTTAAATCATATAATATATCTATCATAGTGCCTGCCACGTTACACTTAGTAAACCTTAATTGTCCTTCTATTCCTATTGCTTTAATTTAAGCCTTTATGATTTGTTTGAACATTGCAATAGTCTTAAAAAAATTGATCCCACTTCCCATGCGGTAACCACAGGGATCTTCCTATGACTAAAGTCTCTTCATTTGTTTCTCTGCCTAAAATTTATCATTGGCTCTCTTTGGCCTCCATAAGATACAATCCTTTTAGCATAACATAAATTGTCCCTGACCTGACCATCTGCCACTACACTAGGTTTACTCTGGTATGGGATTGCCCATTTGCCTCCTTTTGTCTTTTGTCTTAGAATTTCTTTGTTGGTCTCACAGGTAAACTCTTATTCTTTAGAGTCAGCTTCCTGGTCCCCACACCTCCCCCCCCCCCAAAAAAAAACCCAAAAAACCAAAAAAACAAAAAAACAAAAAAAAACAAAAACAACTTTCCTTAATCTGTCCAGGTACTTCCTCTTAGGTCAACAATTACTTTGCTCATTATGTATGTACTACAGTATATGCTGAAAATGGAGCTATGAAGAAGACAGGGTTTCCTGCTCTCATAAAGCATCTGGAGAGGGAGACTAACATTTAGTTAGTTATTTCTGTTGAATGCTATAAAGATGTAGTGTTATGAGTATAACCCAACCTCAGGAAGGTGGTAAGGGCTAGCTTCCCTTAGGAAGAGATATTGAAAGATTTAATGGTCCCATTGCACTCTTTATAATTCTTAAAGTACTTAGGCAATTGCATTTAAATTGTTTTAAAAATATGATTTGACTAGCTAATGTTATGAGGCCATGATTATCAAAAGAGCCTTTGGGCCCTCACAAATACAAGATTTGATCATGATGTCCACAATTTAAATTTATGTGGAGCAGACATCTTTTACTCATAGCAATATCCTTGCTAATACCGTTATTATTCCTATTTTATAGATGTTGAGATTCAAAATGGTTCAACAATTCTACCACGGTCTGTGTTCGGAAGTCGTTGAGTCAGTGGTTCCAACCCAGTGGTTTCAGCATCCAAGCCCTCTTTACACCACACACTTTTGTATTTTTTTATTTCCAGAATCTTCCAGGGTCTCGTTTCTGACAGGTGTTCTATGAATAAATACAAGTGAAAGCCGTATGCTAAGGGTAATTATTTTTACCCTGTTGCCCTCACCAAAGTACACTAGAACTTCCTCCGTTTAGAGAGAGGAACTTCTAAACCTGGTCTCAGGCTTGCACTAAGACTAATAATTCTAAATTGTTTGTTCAACATCATTACACGCTCTTTCTGCCCCAGGGAAAAACTCTATCTTTTGAGTATACCGGTCATCTGAATCTGCCTTCTCCACATCCCTGTAAGGAAGCAGGCTACAGCCCCGGGCCCGGCTTCCCTTCCTGCGTGGGACTCCAGGATTAAAGCTCCCAGGTACCCAAAGTTTCTGAAATTGGGGACTCAAGGAGGGAAAACCGAAAACACGGGTTCGCGGGTCACTGGCAGCCGACAGAGCCCCCTTCGCTCTTTTCAGTTCCATCTCGTTAGCCCATTCCCGCGTCCTCGCAGACTTTGGGTGGCAAACGCCGCGCCTGGAGACGCCCACCTTCAGGTAGCGGCCGCCGAAAAACCCTCCCTCTGCGAAGGACATAGAGCCTGGGCCTCTAGACCGTTGAAGACTAAGGCGGGGCGAAGTTACGCGTGCGCGTTGACGTCACACAGACGCACGGGCACGTCGGCCCCTCCCATAACCTCGTCGGTCCGGTTTCCGGCGGGAGTCGGTGGGGCCCGCGTTGTAGAGAAGGAGCTGCCGCTTACTTGGTGACGCCAGCTGGCCGTCGTCTGCACTGTACACTGGTAGCCGCCAGAATGCCTCACTTGGAAAACATGGTGCTTTGCCGCGAGTCCCAAGTGTCCACCTTGCAGTCCCTGTTTGGAGAGGTACTGTGGTCAAACTACTTTTTCTCTTCCAAATCCCGGAGGCAAATGTTTCCGTGGTCTGGCGACGTGTTCCATTTTTTTTTTTCCCCGTGTTTGCATTGAGGGGCAATAGACCATCTTTTGCGTTGATGTAGGGGGTGTTGTAGGTCTACCCAAGTCCTTCCTTCAAAGTAACTTGTGTTAGTCCCTTTAAAAGAAAACTATAGTGCAGGACCGGCTTGCACTACAGGATGTTAGTCCCCGACGTGTTCGATCACACACGCCACGCTTTTGAGATCGTGTTAGCCCGAAGTAGCTACTAGCAGTTGCTTCTTATCTTGCCCCAGCTGAACAGGATTTTATACAGCAGGTATTTGCAGAGTGTTGTTTATTCAAATGTAAGTTCGCACATTTCGGTGAGGTAGTTAGTATAAATCAAGTGTGAATAGGTGGTGGTTTTCAAGATCAGTGAGGACCAAAGTAGTGCTTCAGTTTTAAAGATTCAGCGGCCTTACTGGAATTGGGAAAGCCCTGAAGAGGTCTAGTCGAGACTTCTTGATGCTGTCTGAGAGAAGAGATTAAGTGTCTCCTCTGGATGGACACAGCTGGAGGAGTCCTTTTCGTGGGCAGGAGGTAGCATTCACCAATTCAAATCTTAATCTGTTTTTTAAATTATATTCTCACCCTTGGGGAGCCATTTGCTTCAAACTCATTATTTAGACTTGAAATTAATCACACTTGGATCTTATTTGTAAGAGTAAATGAGAGTTTCAAGTCATGCCCATTATCTGCCCTTCCCCCATTTTCTGGTTTGCCTTAAGTCCTTTTAAGTACTGTCATCCCTCTAGAAATGTTGGATGGCAGCCTGAGGTGGATCTGTGAAGTGTAAGTGGAAAGGTACCACCCTCCTTCTAAAGGGGCACATTCGTTAGAGAAGTAAGAGGTCAGTGACTGCATACTCAGTAAATATTCAGTATACTTATATTATACTTAGTATTCTAAGTATAAGGCATTCAGTTATAATTAGCCATGTTATCACTCAAACGTTTTATTGGTTAAATGCTCTATGCATTCCTTCCCTGGAGTTGATAAAGCCAGAGCACCCTAACCAGAAGTGGCCCTCCTGAAAAAGAATATTGGCAAATAGAGATGAGCAGTATCAACGTAGCATGGGTCACAGAAAGAGTTTTGACCTTCAGTCTTACTGCAAATCATGTTAAACAATATTATCACATTTCTTCAAGGTGCTGTGCATGTGGAGGTGCAAAAACTGGTTCATATTTTTAAACAGATTCATTTATTTGTTCAATAAACAAATACTTACTGAGCACCTTTTCTATGTCAGGCACTCTGCCAGAGCCTGGCTTACTACGGTTTATATTGGGGAGGTTTATGAAGGTGAAAGGTTAAATAACAGTGCAAGTGTTCAATTTAATTCTAGGGAACAAAGGACAGATGTTATGAGGTGGGATATTATTAAGCACCAAATAATGAATGCAAAGTGTGGCAAGATTCCAGAAAAGGAGAGTTTTAGGATAGTTTGGAAAAGGTTCCTGAAGGATGTCTTGAACTTTTCTTTAAAGGTGACATATAATATTTGTATAACAGGTGTTCAGCAAGCATGCATTTAATTTTGGGACAGAATTTTTGAACCAGTTAATTTATAAGATTTTTACATACATTTTAAAAACAGGATTATGTAGTTAAATATTCATTTTTAGTTTATTTGTAGGGTTTGGGTTGCTTTTGCCATAGGCATATGGCATTTGGAAAGTTTTTTTTCTGTATAAATCTGATTTCCAATTTGTCCCTCAAAAGGAAATGTGTAACTTAGTGGCTAGAATGTTTCAAATGTTTGTGACTACTATTGTAGTGGTAGATGATCATAGAGACGCTACTTTCTCATGGGAATTGCATCATCCAATTTTCTTGTAATTATTTTAAAAATATTTGTCTTCCCACTATACTATGAACTCCTCCAAAGTAGATTTTGTCTTTAACTGATATTTATACTCTTCAGTGCATCATGGTTTTTAGCATATAATAGGTATCTAATAAATGTTTATTGAATGACTAAAACATATTTGTAGTATTAATTTTCACCAGACAGATGACTCTTAATGTACTGTAGGAGGATCTTAGGGAACATGTACTTTGAAATATAGGTAGATATTATCATTGTTTTACTTGATGAAATGTATACATTTAGGCCAGAGTAATTTAAGATGCATAACTCAAAAGTATCCTGTAAGTTTCCCTAAGAACAGAGGACTTCAAATCCTAACCCTGTGATTCTATTTGTTTAGGTTTTATAAAAAATATTTCCAACACTTATTGGGGTGACATTGATTAATAAAATTATATAGTTTTCAAGTGTAATTTAAATAGTCATATGTATATTGCATTGTGTATTCAATCCAAAGTTAAATTTCCTTCTATCACCATATATTTGATTCCCTTTACCCTTAGTTACATCCCTTCTTTCCTCCTTCCGTCTGGCAATCATTAAACTGTTGTCCATGTCCACATAGAGTGAATTCATATGGTTCTCAACTTTTTCTGTCAGATTTATTTTGTTTATCTTGATAATCTCAAGATCCATCCATGTTGTTGCAATATTTGTTTAGTTTCAAAGCTTTAAAATGTATAATAAAGTTGCTGCCTGTGTGGGTTATGATAAAAACGGAGTATGGTCAAAATTATCCTTGAAAAATCTCTTCAATTCCCTATAAATTTTAAAATGCAAGTTTGTATATATGACCCTGTACAACAATATAAAAAGCATAGCTATATATAGTATATAATAAATATGCCAGATGTAATTTTCAGAAATTTTAATTTCTTAACAGAAAAAGTGCTTAGAGTTGAATTCAGGTAAATTCAAAGTGTGATGACTCCAGTATGCTCACCATTGAAATAATTTGGATTGAATATTTTACTTTACCACATCAAACTCTCATGAATTGATAAATGTTTATTTTTTGTTTTGTATGTATAGATTGATATTTGTCTTTTTCTCCTAGAGACATCATTTCAGCTTTGCATCCATTTTTATATATGGACATACTGCCAGTGGAAAGACTTATGTAACACAAACTTTGTTGAAAACTTTAGAGGTGAGAATAACCCTAAATAAACTTGATGTTAATTGATTTTTACTCAGAGTCCAAGAAATGGAAGGGATCTGAAATATTTAGTCTGGTTTACCTTTCTCTGAAGGAATGTCATCTGCATAAAGCATTTCTGACCAGCTTTTGTTTGATTACATTCAAAGACCGTAAGCTTCAGAAAAGATTATTACATAACTTAAGCCTTGATGTTAGAAAGTTATTTTTTATTTCTCACTTTCATTGGCTGATAATATTTGCAGAAAAACACACATGATAAATTCTTTAAAAAATATTAAAATCTGTTTCTTTTCCATTGATGTATTTGTAACATTGATACCGGTGATTCTGAAACTCCACAAATACAAAACTGAATATATCACCTTTACCCTGTCTTCTTCTCATATTGCCTATCACAGAGAATGGTCTCAGCATTCACAGAGTTGTCTAAACTTTCTCTTTACTACTTCCTCATCCTCATCATTGTTTCTTCTATGTATTTCTGCAAAGTCTCTTCCGTACAATCCATTCTTCATCCTATACTTAAGATCATTAGGCAAGTATTCAAGTGCTTTGTCTGATATATAAGATCTTTCATAAGCTGAATTCAGTTTATCTTTCATAGTATAATAGCTAAGCTGAATTCAGTTTATCTTTCATAGTATAATAGCTAAGAGTCTGGCAGACTCATATTCTTTTGAACTTAACCACTTAGTGCTTTCTCCATCTGAAAAGTAGAGCTAATAGTGACAATATTTGGAAATGTGAGAATTAAATGAGTTAATACATAAAAAGTGTTTAGTAGAGTACTTAGTATATAGTAACTCTAAAGGTTAGCTGCTATTTTAATGACCATTGCTATATTCTCTTTCATGATCTCAGGATGGGCAAACTACTTCTTGTAGATCAGATAGTAAATATTTTAGGCTTATAGGCCATATAGTTTCTATCACAAAAATACTCAACTCCGCCTTAGTGTAAAAGCAGTTGTGGACAATATCTATCAGAATGGGTATGGCTGTGTTATAATACAACTTTTATTAAAACATGCTGGCCTACAGGCTGCAGTTTGCTAATCCCCAGTTGTAAGCTCTAGTTCTGAGGCTGCATCTTACGTATGGCATACTGAATGACTTACAGTTCCTGCTCTCTTACTTTTAAGCCTTGGCATATACTACTTCCTCTGCTTGGAATATCTTTCTTGTATTCACTTGGCCTCTGCTACCCTATGGCTTGGGCAATACTTATGTATTTTGCTAATTACATTTTGGGAATCTGTTCTTGACTCCCTAGAATGTGTTAGACTCTCCTTTGTTGTGCAGCCTCAGTACTCTGTGCTTAATTCTGTCATCATATTTAGCCCTTTCAGTTGTGATATTGTATTTGTGTTTTGCTTGCTCAAGACTGAGTTTCTTGAGATTATCCTCAGCACCAAGCACAGTGCTAGGCACATATCAACTTCTGAATTTTAGCCTTTGGTCCCTAAGATCACCTGTGCATTTAAAAATGCATCTGCCTGGGCTTCATACCAGACTTCAGAATCTGAGTATATAAGGTCCTGGATCAGGCATTTGCTTTTGAGAACCTCCTATATGGAGGGAGAGAGGGAGAGAGGGAGGGAGGGAGGGAGGGAGGGAGAGAGACAGAGACACAGAGACACAGAGACACAGAGACACAGAGACACAGAGACACAGAGACACAGAGACACAGAGACAGAGACAGAGAGACTGTCTGTCTAATAGAAAGGCATGAAAACCAAATAAGGAAGTTACATATTTAGGAGATATATGTCATTTTTTAGCACATTATAATTTTTGCTGCTATTTAGTCATTGTAATAAATGATGATTATTACTACTTTTGGTACAGGTACACAGAGAGGCACTTAGAATATGCTGCCATTAAAGGTCATGCCTTTAGAGATAGTAGTAAGCAAGACATTTATTCATAATGGAGATCTTGTGAACTCTGGGGGGGTAAGGGAGGACAGTAAATGCTGGTGAAATTGTGCCTTAGTATATATAATGTAGCCTTAGTTATACCGTTACTCAGAGAAAGAAAAGCCTCATTATTGGGTGAAATTTATAGGCTATAACTAAAAATAGTTATAGGTTCCATTATTTGTGCCAGATACCACAGGTGTCTTTCTCTGAATAATCAGTACTGCTTTTGTGATTTCATCCTGAAAACAGACTATATTTGTGAGCAAGTCTTAAATTTCCTTGTTACTTCAGAATTATCTTAATTTTGATAGTTCTCTAAATGAAGAGGTAGTTCTCATTTCTCATAGTATTATTATGGTTTCTAACTCTTAAAATTCTTTTTTTGATCTAGGTTTATTCATCATTAAGAGTATTATCTTAAACTTTTAAGTATGAAATTTCCACTAAGAATTTTAACAGTCAGATGTACATGGGTTACTTAATAAGAATTTTTTAATAGGAAAATACAGGTTTGCTTTGAATCTCTGTAGGAAACAAATGGTAAACTCAAATAATTGAAATGAGTTTAACGAAAGGACTATTTTACAATGATGAAGAAATGTTAAGGGAACCAGTAAGGGATGGTGAAGCATTGAGAGCTTTTACCTCTCCCAAACCAGAACTGGCTGCAGAAAGGAGCTGTTACCAGACCCCAGCGAGAGCTATAGCCTTCAACTAAGGGCTACCCAACTGGAGCTGTGGCCTTTGGTAGAAGGTCGTAGCTGCTTTCAAACTGTGGGCCTCTGAGGGGTAAGGATGGGAACCAAGGGAATAAATATTCAGCTTCTCCCTAACCACTCTCCTTCAGTCTTCTGCTGGTTCTTCTCATTGGCTGAATCCAATCAGTGCTAGAATATAAGAGAGTCTAGGTGATGCAGTGTGTAGTGGTCAGACTCCTGGGACACAGCAGTTGGGAAAATGGTGAGATATAGGTTTAGGAGGGCAAATGGGGAATATCCAGCAGAGCCTTTATTGTGTATGTGTGTTTTCTCTTTACACTTGTTTTGTTTTGTTTCCAGCTACCACATGTCTTTGTGAATTGTGTTGAATGCTTTACCTTGAGGCTGCTTTTGGAACAGATTTTAAACAGGTTGAATCGTCTTAATTCTTCAGGGGATGGACATTCTACTCAAATAACTTGTGACACGTTTAATGACTTTGTTCGCTTGTTTAAACAAGTAACCAAAGCTAAAAGTCTTGAGGATCAGACTGTATATATTGTAAGTAATTTAATTCCATTATTTCATCTCTTATTTGAAAACTAATTTGTTTATTAGCTCAATTTCTATGTATTTGTTTAGAGTCTTATGTATGGTATACTATGCAAGGTGCTTTTGGGATACAAAAATGTTTTAGATGTATTTCTTATACAAAGAGAGCTTCAGTTTGACAATACTGACATGACTACATGTAGAATGTGATAAATGATAACGATGAGATGCAAACTCTGACTTAGGCAGCTTTAAGAGGTGACAGCATTTGATATAGTCATAAAAGAATGATTAGGATATTGTAGGAAGAAACTGAATATTAGGAATTTCACATAGAGGAATTATATAAGCAAAGGCATGCAGATGGGAATGGAGGTCAGGGAATGTCAAATTGTATAGTTTTAGTGGGTTATAAGTATGAAGAGAGAAAAAGAAGACTGGAAAGATAGGTGGTGGCAGATCCGGAATATCTTGAAAACTATACTAAGGCACTTTGTTTCATTTTCTAGGTAGTGAGAGGAAGATTTTAGAGCAGCAGATATGCTTTAGGAATATTACTCTGAAGGCATGTTGAATAGTTGGATTGGAAGGGGTGAAAGACTGAAGGCTAGAATGGTTTTGAGTAGCTATTTACATTAGAGGAAATTTGGGTCTGGACTAGAGTTGGGGCAGGAGATGCAGAAAAGAATAAATGCGAGACAGCAAAGGTCAAACTTGTCAATTGTATCTGGGGTAAATTTGTAGAGAAAGATAAATCAATTGATTTTATGTTGGCTAAGTCTGAATTGTAGTTATATCAATGTGAAAGTGACTAGCAGTTAATTGAAAATGCATAATATGTTTTACAGTAGTGAAGTTTTAATAATACCTTAACCTTTTTAAAAAAATGATTATTTCTGGAATTGGAATTGAACATAAAGCCTTATCAAAACAGTAAGTTGTAAACTAACTGAAAGAGCCAAATCTTATTTATTCTTGTATCTCTTTAAATGTATAGAAAACAGTTCCTTCCTCATTTAATTTCATTCATTTATTTATTCAACAAATATTTATTGAGCACTTCCTGTATGTGAGGCACTCTTCTAGATACTGGAGATAGAACGTGTAACCAAATAGTTTCTTTCCGCTTGCTGAGTATAGTCTAGTTGAGGAAGATAGATAATAAGCAAGTTAACGTGAAGTATGTCAGATATGATACATTAATAAGGGAGAAAAGAGTGAGGGAGAGTAGTTATTTTTCTAAATAGGGAAGACAGAGAATATCTCACTGAGATGATGATAAATTAACTGAAACCTGAAAGAAATGAGGGGTAAACTATGAAAACATCTGATAAGAGTATTCTAAGCAGAGATTAATGTGAGGGTCCAAAGGAGATTAGAGCATACCTTGTGTATTCAAAGAATATCAGGGAGGACATTGTAACTGGAGTAATTTAAATAAGGGAGTAATGTTGAGAATCAATGGAAGGATTCAAGGGTAGAAGCATGTAGACTAATGTTACGGATTGAATTTTTTCTCCAGAAATTCTTATGTTGAAATTCTAACTCCTAATATCTCAGAATATGACCATTTTTGGAAATAGGGTCATTGCAGTTCTAATTAAGATGAAGTCATACTAGAGAAGATTGGGCTCCTATTCCAGAATGACCAGTGTCCTTATGTAAAAGGAAATTTTGGTGACAGACATGCACACGAGAGAATACATGTAAAGATTGGAGTTATGCTGCCACAAGCAAGGGACTAGCGGAAGCTAGGAGAGAGGCCTGGAACAGATTCTTCACCAACACCTTCAGACAAAGCATCCATTTGCCAACACCTAGATCTTGGACTTCTATCTTTCAGAACAATAAACTTCCATTGTTTAAGTCACCATGTTTGTGACGCTTTGTCGTGGCAGTCGTAGGAATCCAATACAATTAGTTTAGAGGCATTTCTAATAATCTAGGCAAAACATCATGTTGGCTTAGACCAAGGTAGTGGTAATGAAGGTGGTAAGAAGTGGTCTGCATATATTTTGAAGTTAAGATTGACAGAATTTTCTGATAAACCTATCAAAATTGAGTGTGGAGGAGAGAAAGAAGTCAGGATGACTCAAAAGTTTGTGTGCACCTGAAAAGATGAAATTGTCAGTATTTGAGTAGAGAAAACTACAGCAGGTGGGGATTTTTGTGGCGGGGAAGAAGTGATCAAGATTTTGGTTTTGGGCGTAGTTAGTCCAAGTAGAGATGTCGAATTGGCACTTGAAGTCTTGAGTTTGAGGTGAAGAGAGGTCCAACATGATGGGGATTTTGGAATTGTAAAAGTATAGATAGTAGTACTATAAGCTGTGAAACTGGATTAGATCACCGAGATAGAACTCTGAAATAAAAATATTCTAATGGAATATTTCTTGAAAGTGAAATAATTCCTGTTTGACTATTCCTGTTAGATTGTCTTATTATCTTACTAGATTGTCTTATTAGTTAAATAAGAGATAAGTCCAGTAACCTAGCCCTGTGGCACTCCAGTGTTCAGGAGATAAAGAAGAACAAATGAGGAGGCAGAAGAAATCAGTGGTGTTCAAAGAAAACTTGGAGAGTGCAGTGTCCTGGAAGTCTCGCTAAGTTGCTCTTTCCTGTCTTTTGGCCAGAGAGAGCAGGTTTTTGTTGAGGCTTTTTTGATCTATGCTCGTGGGCCTTTCTGTATTGCTGCTGCTTCATTTCCACACCTGGGATATGTGAGGCAAAAGACAACTCAGGCAGTTACTCTCTGGGGTGAGTTGCCATTCTTCTGGCTCTGAGGTCCCTAGCTGGTTTGCCTTCTCTCTACCTTTCAGAGCCCTGTTTGTTTTATATATAATATTCAAGATTCTTCATTTTAAGAGGAAGAATGGGAAAAAGTATATCTCCTTCTTCTCAGAAGTGGAAATCTATTTTTTAAAAAATGCAAGTGCATAGTGAAGAATACAGCAACTAGTATAGTTTGGCACCATTACCACCTTGATTTATGCTAAGGAGGCTCTAGTTTAACCCACCTTTGCTTTTGCACTATCAGTGCAAATGTCAACATGGTAAAAAAGGCAAATCATATCTTAGTAGTATTATGAAAATAGTTTTGACTTTGCCAATCTCCTGAAAAGGTGTCAGGGATCACGACCACCATCCCCGTCCCCCTGCCCCAAGGGGTCACACATCACACTTCAAAAACCAGTGATCTAGAAAATGTTTGTTTTTCACTAAATTTAGTAGGAGACAAGATCATCAGTGTAGAGGAATTTAAAGAACTAAGTCCCCATATCAGAAGGGGGTCATTTATGTGGGTTTGAATATCCAAAAAATACAGGAGTTGTATTAGAGAAGTGATAGAAGCCGTAATACTTAAAGAATGAGGAGGAATGACACAAGAATATGTGGATGACTTCAACAAGTAGAATTTCAGAGCTAGTTGTCTTTAGGGAGGAGGGAGAATCAGTATTCTAAAAACAGCTCTACTCATTTTTCAGGCCCAATGGACCAAGGGAGGCATTCAGTATTTGTTAGTTGACTGTATGTTGAGAGTGGATCATTTTGCAGATATTTAGTGTAGAACAATTTTTTGGAGTAAATCTATAGACTGTTCAGATATCTAATATATGAATTGGGAATCTTTGGTACTTAGGAAGTAATACATAAAGGTGGCTGAGAATGTTTTCTAGTCAGTAAACTAGTTTACAAATCGAGAGTGTTAGAAAGCCTTTGTATAGATTATTAAGAAAAATACTTGGATCTGAATTAAAATTTTTACTCCTCTGAATATTACTTATCTGATAATTGCTTTAAAAAAAGAATAATTTATTAGAATACCATAAAATCATTAATTACAGTGGTCACCTATATCAAATCAGGATGAACTATTAATTTACAGCGCCGCTTTGTGTTTTGTATTAAAATGGACATAAAAATTGACCAATTTATTTGAATTAATCTGTGTCCTAAATCAGAGAGTTATCTAAATGGAGATTGATGGGAAATTGCATAATGGGACTACATAGTGGGAAAACTAACTTATACCTTTTTAGCACTAAACAATTTAGTTTTATTTTGTCTAAACTAATTAGGAATGAGATATCTTAGGTCGATTACTCATCGTTTCAAGCCGTCTATTAATAAAACAGATATAAAACAATTTGTACTATTCGGGGAAACAACATGCCCTACATTTTAATTCTATTCCTAATTTAAATAATTATAATTTGCAATAAGATTTATTAATAAAGTATAAATGATTTTAAAAAAACAGCTTTCTTTGGAAAAAGAGTGATTTCAGTTCTGAGTAGAAAATGTGCAAGAGGAACCTAGAACATCTTGCCATAATAGAAAACTAGGAAACTATCAACTGCTACTAAAGTTATTTTAAACAGACAGGATCTCATGGATCAAATTAATTAATATTGTTAAAATGTCCTTACTACGCAAAGTGATCTATAGATTTAGTGTAGTCCCTATCAAAATTCCAATGGCATTTTTTGCGGAAATAGAAAAAACAATTCTAAAATTTGTATGGAATCACAAAAGACCCTGAATAGCCAAAGCATTTCTGAGAAAGAAGAACAAATCCTGAGAAAGCTGGAAGCATCATACTTCATGATTTTAAACTGTAGTAAAGCTGTAGTATTAAAACAGTATGGTACTGGCATAAAAATAGACACATAGATCAATGGAACAGATAGAGACCCCAGAAATAAACTCACATATACAAGGTCAATTACTTTATGACAAAAGAGCCAAGAATATACAATGGGGAAAGGACAGTCTCTTCAGTAATTGTTGTTGGAAAAACTGGATAGTCACATGTGAAAGAATGAAATGACCATTGTCTTAAAATATGCACAAAATTAACTCAAAATGCATTAAACACTTTAACATGAGACCTGAAACTATAAAACTCCTTGAAGAAAATAGGAAGAAATCTCCTTTATATCAGTCTTGCCATTATTTTTTTGGATTTGACACCAAAAGCAAAGGCAACATAAATAATAACCAAAAATAATCAACTGGGACTACATCAAATTAAAAAGCTTCTGCACAGCAAAAGAAACCATCAACAAAATGATGAAAAGACGGATGAGAGAAAGTATTTGCAAATCATATGTCTGATAAGGGGGTTAACATTTAAAATATATAAGGAACTCATATAACTCAGTAGCAAAAAAACCAATCTGATTAAAAAATGGGCAGAGGAACTTAATAGACATTTTTCCAAAGATGATATCCAATGGCCAACTGGTCCATGAAGAGGTTCTTGACATCACTAATCATCAGGGAAAGGCAAATCAAAGCCACAATGAGATATCTCCTCACACCTGTTAGAATGGCTATTGTCAAAAAGACAAGAGATAACAAGTGTTGGCAAGGATGTGAGGAAAAGGGAATGCTTATGCACTGTAAATTGGTACAGCTACTATGAAAAATAGTGTGGAAGTTTCTCAGAAATTAAAATAGAGAACTACCATATGATCTAGCAATCTTATTTATGGATATATATTCAAAGGAAATGAAATCAGGTTCTCAAAGAGATATATGCATTCTCATGTTCATTACAGCATCATTCACAATAGCCAAAATACAGAAACAACCTAAATGGCCATCAGTGGATGAAAATATATATTGTAAACCTAAAATTAAAACCTAAATTCAGAAGCCAGAAGTATTTATTTGGGTAGCAAAGAATTGCAATTTGGATTTGGGTAGCATAGATTTAGTCAAAAAACCAGATGGTGTCCCGAATACAGGATGAAAGCAAAGGGTTTTTATGAGGAAGGGAAAGGATTAAACAAAAAGTGGTTACCAGAGGGTGGGGGCCGGGGGAGGGGGGAACAGTAGATGAGGTAAAAGAGGTCAAATATGTGCTGACAGAAATCTATGGATGATGAATACACAATGCAATATATATATATGCCTTACTGTTGAATTTTACACCTGAAGCTTAACTGGGTTTTGTTAACCTATGTCACCATAATAAAAATTTAAAAAATAAAAAATAAAAGAATTCTTATGGTGCATAGGCTGAGCTACTCTTGGCTATATGTGATTGGTCACTGATTCTGTCTTCAGATAGAGAGTCCATAATCATCAGTCCTTGTGGTCAGGATGGTCCCCTTTCCTGCTGGCTTTACAAACAGTTCTTTTTAAAACAATGTTGATTTTAGACCTTTGGATTTTAGCCCAAGTACAAAGATTCAAGAACAAGATGTGCTAGGCAATTCCTCCAGAATGGTGGCTTTGACTCCATTTTGAATAAGCTCAGTTTAGATTATTTTTCCCAGTGGAGGATTATTCAGCCATTAGAAAGAAGGAAATTCAACCATTGCGACAAAATGGATGGATCTTGAGGGCGTTATGCCAAGTGAAAGAGAAAGACAAATACTTATGATCTCACATGTGGAATTTAAAAAAGCTAAGCTTATAGAAACAGAGTAGAATGGTAGATACCCAGGGGCTAGAAGGTAAGGGAAATGGGATATGTTGGTTAAAGGGTACAGGCTTCTAGTTATAAGATGAATAAGTTCTGGGGATTCTAATGTAGAACATAGTGACTGTAGTTAATAATACTGTATTATATACTTACTTGAAAGTTACTAAGAAAGTAGAAGGTAATATGACCCTGCCAACACCTTGATTTTGGCCCAGTGAAACTCATTTCAGACTTTGGGTTTCCAGAACTGTGAAAAAATAAATTTTTAGTCTAAGCCACCAAATTTGTAGTGATGTGTTATAGCAACCACAGAAAGTTAATACAGGCACACACTCATTCTGAAAAGTGGTACATAAAGGGAAAAAATCAGGCATTTATCCCTCTTGTCCTGTGTGAACTTTATTTCTGGGTAGTCAAATAGGGGATGAAGGAAGCTTCTTTCTAGAAAAATGTCCTTTAATAAATGCAGAAAGTCATAGAAGATTATAGTTTTGCAGTCCCTAATTAATAATCCCTAATTAATAATCACAGTCTCTAATTAGTAATGTACATAGGCAGCGATCATCAGTTGATGCTGAAATCATTAGGTGAAAAGCTGTTGGAGAACTTTATAGTGGATGAATCAGGCTGACAACACTTGAACCTTTCAGTCAATCTTAACATCACAAAAAAGGGAGACAACGGGTATTATATGCTTGTTGATATAATTCAAGAAGAAATATACAGCACCATTTGTGAAGTATTCTTGTCCAAAACTCAAACCTGAATCTGATCAAAAGTCTGGATCTACCAGTTATTTTAAAGTAAATATAGGGGCTTTAAGAACATCACGGAAATGTAGTCAGCCAATCCAGAATGTGGAAAATTCCATATGGCAAGTGACCTGATTTCTTTTAACCAATAAATAACAAGGAAACAAAAAGGGTTGGTGGAACTGTTATTGAAAACAAACTTAGATGACAAACCAAATATAATAAAATGCAATATATGGACCTTTTAGGATCCTGACTCATAAGCTAACCCTAAGAAGACATTTATGGAACAAGTGAGGAAATTTGAATACTGGTTAATAGATGATATTAAGGAATATTGTTTAATTTTTTAGGCATGATAGTGATACTGTGGTTATGTTTTTTTTTAAAAAGTCCTGATTTTTTATAGCTGCACACTGACTTTTTTATGGAGAATGGTATGTCCGGGATTTGCTTTAAATTATCCAGCAAGATGGTGGAGGGAAAAGTCGGGGGTGGATAGAAGAAACAAGATTGACCATACGTTGATGTTTGTTGGAGTTGGGTGAAATATATATGGGAATTCATGGTACCAATCTTCCTACTTTTGTGTATATTTTAAAATTTCTATAACAAAAAGTAAAAAATGTTAGAGTAAATGTTTTTTTCAAAAATTTATTTATTTAAATTAGTTTCAAGTATACAGTACATTGGTTAGACATTTATGTAGTTCATAAAACGACCCCTCCAATTGCTTCCTCCCTCGGCCCTCCACATAGCCATCATATTAATGCTAACTGCATTCCTTCTGCCGTGCTCCCCATCCCCGTGACCAGCTATCAACTACTAATTTGCACTTTAACCCTTAAACCCATTCTCCCAACTCCTCAACCCCTCTCCCCTCTGTCCCTCATCAAATTGTCCACTATATTTGTGAGTCTATTTTTGATAAGTTTGTTCTTTTCGTTCCTTAGATTCCGCATATAATTGAAATCATATGGTATTTATCTTTCTCTGACTTCTTTCATTCTCAGTCCATCCATGTCATTGCAAATGGTATTTCATTTTTTTTTAATGGCTGAGTAATATTCCATTGTATATATGAACCATAATTTCTTTATCCAGTTGTCTGTTGATGGGCATTTAGGTTGCTTCCCTATCTTGGCTATTGTAAATTGTGCTGCCATGAATATTTGAGTGCATAGACCTTTACGAATTATTGTTTTGGTTTTCTTTGGATAAAAGAATAAATGTTTTAAGTACTGATTTTAAGACTGATTTTTTTTTTTTTATGGACTGATTGATGACCTCTTCAAACAGGTTTTTAAATTTTCATTATTTTTTAATGGAAACCAAACATAAACAATAGTATAGTGTATCCAAATAAACCCATCACCCAGCTTTAATAATTATTAACATGTGGCCATACTTTTGTGTCATTTGTACCCCGTTCATTGTTCCCTGAATCACATCATGTCATCCATAAAAATGTTTCATATATTTATTCTACTGTATATGTATATCATATATATTCATTTATTAATCTATATGTGTGTACTCTTTGTATATAGTATGTATCCTAGATATCTCTAAAAAATAAGTATCTTTTTAAAAAACATAATCCCAATAACATTGTCGTAACACTGAACAAAAATTTTAACTTAGCATGATCTGTTATCTAGTTAAACAGGGTGTAGCATGCAGTTAAAGTTCACGCAAGAAAAGTTTTACATGGTGAAATTCAGAATTTCCCTCTCTCGTCAGAAGGAGTAGTAACTTTTGGTTCACAGTGGACATTTATTATCAAATGGAATAAAAAATGCACATGGTTGTATTTCTTATACACCTAAGAAAATGTCCTTAGAGTATCTTGCATCATTATCTTTTCTATGGTTTACCTACTTGTGAAGTAAACCTTTTAAATACAGCTATAACTCATTTTCTATTTAGAAATTTGAGTTAAAACATGTCATAAGTAGTCTATTTTTTAAACTTATTTGACTTATTTAAAATGTCTTCCACAAATGTAAATAGCATTAAAAATTCATGTTATAACTTTTTAACATGGAAAGTTCAGTTCTTGAATTGTGCATTAATATTTTTAATATTTGTAACATAATTGTAAATGTTTTGTAAAGGGCGTTGCAAATTGATTTTGATGCCACATTTTTTTTTTAATAAGGTTCTAGATAAAGCAGAGTATCTAAGAGATATGGAAGCGAATATTTTGCCTGGGTTTCTTAGGTTACAAGAATTGGTAAGTAATGACTTTTTCACCTATGGCCTAATCAGTAGATCGTGTTGTCAACTTTTTTCCTTTTGCTAATCTGATAGGTGAGAAATGATATCTTAATATGATATTAATTTGCATTTCTCTATTCTGAGTGCAATTAGCCTTTTTTCAAAGTTAATTTATGACTTGATAACATTTATTCTTCAATTGTTTTAGCTTTTTATTTCTAATTGTAAGTGACTAACACTGCTTTCTATGAAAAGATTTTAGGTGTTTGCTAGAGTAAGTGGCAATGGGCTAGACTGACTTTCTGCAAGAATTTAAATTTTTCTTTTCATTTCAGTAATCTAAAAAAAGAATGGTACGTCTACTTTGGTTCATCTCAATTTCTATATCATGGCCACTCTGTCAGAACCAGCTTTCTATTTCAATTTACAGTTGTGTTGGCACCAAACAGCATTAATGCCACTCTAATTGTCATGACTTGGGAAAAGAGCAGGCATATTTTTTAATATGTGTCAGGTGAAAGCCAAATAATATTATGGCAAAAACAGGGTTTTACAGTAGTTTAAATAAAGAAAATTGATGAGAGAATTCACTGTTCACCATACCAGTTGGTATAGGAATGCTAAACTCAAAAGAACTGTGGCCGTTTCCTTTAGAACCATGTTCACAAAGTGAGCAAAAATTTAATTTGAACAAACAGTACTGTTCATCATTTTCAGTTAATGTTAATTTAAATTTTATTGATTTTTCTAGTTTTGTATTTAACTTATAAATTTATTTTGGTTCTATAATTTTGTGAATGTTTTGATCATAAATAGTTTTCTGTCTATATTACAGAAAACTACGTAGTTTTCTGTCTATATTATTTAAATATTAAATAACATTATAATAAAAATTAACTATTTGGGGAGATAGTGCTTAGAGCATTTTCACCTTTGAAAAATTAAATGCATTACTCAAATTTGAGAAGCTGTTAAAAGTTCGGGAAGGCTTTCCAAGTGCCACTGAAATCATGGTGTGCCTAAGGCCAATGCCTAAAATTCACTTTTAGTAATAGTTTTCCAGGGCCAATATGGAGAGGACGGAAGAAGATTAAGTGTAGCTCTCAGTAGCTTATCCTGGAAGTGTCCTCACACAGTCTAGCTTTTCCCAGTTTCATTAACTCTTGGCATCTTACTGCTGAGATCAGGGACCTGTCTTGTTTGAGCAGTTGTCTCCTCCTCTCTTTCATTATTTTGTTGTGTTCGTATATATATATATATATTTTGGCATTCATATCTGCTGCTTCCTGTTGCGTTGGTCTAGGACTCCGTCTGGTATCCAGAGTGCTGCTTGCTGTCTGTCTCCTTGCCCTTCTAGTATCACTTACCCTAGTTTTTCCCTTCATGCCCAGTAATGGTGATTTTGTGTCCCTGCACAGTCTTTAGGCCTTTCACATTTTTTTTTTTTTAGTTTTAATTATGGAAACTGAAGAAAATTAAAAGATTCACAGTAATCTGTACTCTACCAGAAAAGAGAATTGTTTTGATATTTCTGAAAACATGCTTGATTTTTAAAAATGTATCTCATTTAAGAGAAATATAGCAAAAACATTTTGTGTTTTTATATTAAATATTTATCTGAGTAAAATGAAGTATAAATTATTATAGATATTGTATATCGAACACACTTTCAGATGAACCACTAGCAACTTAAAATCCTTCCAGACTGATAAATACATTTTTTTAAACTTTTCAGTATTTTTAAACTGATTTTATAAAATGCTTTTGGATAATCATATTTTAAAGCAAAAACAACTCAATGGTTTGAATCATGATTGTGGTTAGAGCATACTTTTTTATCTCTATAGAAATAAATTTAAGGATTCTTAAAAATTAATGAGTTTATAAGACAAAAAGTATTTGAAAGTAAAAATCTTTTCCTTTCATAAAGATGCTAGATTTTTGTGGAATTATTAATTCTTTGGCAGCCAAAATAATTTTTTTCTAAATAATGAAATATGGAATATAAGATTACACATAAGTTCAGAATCAATAAATAGTAAATCTTCATCAGCGTATGCTATAATTTATTTCTGAAATAGGATCCTAAGAATAGTTGTTGAACAAAACAGGTTTTGTCAACTTGAGAGATATCAAAAAGAATATTGGAAAAATTAAAATCTGTGTTGAAAATGGCAGAGGTATCTATTGATAAATCCTAACTAGCATGCATAGGGCATTTTTGGCTGCTCTGCAGAAGGATAACATACATGGTGAGCTTGTTCTCTTAATGTTCTTTCTGGTATACTAATTATAATTCTTAAATATACTTCAAAAGATGTCTGTTTACTTAATGCTGGTGTTTTAGATATGAATACTCATACTTGTTTGTGTTTTTAATGTATATTCATCAATTTTACTTAATACTTTGAAAATAACCTTTAAAAAATTTAGAAATTTTCTAATATGTGTTTATATGGTATGGCTCATCTGTTTTTCTTCAACTCATTTTTTTCTGGGTTGCAGTAGCCATTTTAATGAGAGCTGTTAAGTTTATCCTTTTTTTTTGTTTATTGATTGAAAGCTAATGATTTCTTCAAAAATTCCCATAAAAAGGTTTTGTCTTAATTATTCAAGCAAATGTGTTTCTTAATTTCTATAAAATAAGTCCTTGGGTAACTGTCCTAGCATTCATGGGTAACTGAAAGGTTGATTAATCCAAAAGTTTTATGGAAACACCAAGTAATTATTTATGAAAATTTGCAAGTGGATGAATTCCTTGATTAGGTTTTCTAAATATGGCTTATTAACATGCAAATAATTTGTTATATGTTACAACTTTGCTGTATTTATTTGAAAGAAAAATTCAGATGGAATTAGTGCTCTGATTAAGATTTTTAAATGCAGTTACTTTCATTTCTTTTTCTTTACAGACCCACAGAAATGTGACTGTTATCTTTCTCAGTGAAATTGTTTGGGAAAAGTTTCGTCCAAATACCGGATGCTTTGAGCCATTTGTCTTGTATTTCCCTGATTATAGCATAGGTAAATTTTAAAACATTGTTTTGATGATTGATACTCAGTAAAATAGTCTTTGTTTGGAAGATTTAGCCAGCATGTTCAAATGAGAATACTTTGATGTCTTAATCTGTTAAAGTTTGCTTCCAATCTCAAATAAAATGTTGCTTATGATTCTGCATTTATAGAGATTTTATTTTGTAACTGAGGGGTTATTCTTTTATGACTAAAATTTTTTGAGTAACCAGTTCTCACATATTTGTGCTTATGGTATGTTTTTACATTTTTTAGCTAGTGCATTAAGATGTATATATTGCAGTTGTAACATTCATACAAGTAAGAATCAGACTAGGTTGGCAAAGCACATTAAAATTGCATTGAAATCTTTATTTACCATGTACTTGGGTTAAATACTATGTGAGATGTATTTTTGATTTTGTAAATTTCATTTTTCATTACTGCATTCTTAGAGTACCAACTGATGGCCCTTCTGTTTCTTATTTCTTTTTGGTTTGCATCCTGATGATTTTTATCTTTGGAAGAACACAATAGCTTTTTGTGGTGTTGAATAGCTTTTTAGATTAATATTGTGATGTCACTATACAAATATGATACTTTTGATTCAAAGATTATAACTGTGAAGCATCAGGTGGTTAGCAGGCTCTGGAAAAAATAGCATTCCTTGACCTTGGTTAGCCTCATTAACACTACCCTTCTGAACTAATCAGCTGTAAACATTCATTGTTAAGATCACGTTTTTGCCTTTTTTCACAAGAACAGCAATGAAAGAATACTTCCTGCCTTAACTAATTAACTGAGATAAAAAAGGAACCAAAAAATAGATGAAGGGAGGCCTTATTTTCAGTAGCTTCTCTTCCATGAAAACTGCAAAATAAGGAAAAGAGAAAAGAGTAGGAAGAAAAGAATAAATCAAAGGATTTCATTGAAAAGATTTCTTTGTACCTATGTCATCACTGTTTGAAGTTAAATTTTTTTCATGACCCATTTTAGGTTTCAGTATTGAAAAAATTTTAGAAGCTAAGCAAGGTTGGGCCTGGTTAGTATTTGGATGGGAGACCACCTAGGAATACTGGGTACTGTAGGCTTAAAAATAAAAATTAATTAGAATTCAAGAAAATTATTAAAATGATGATTTTCTGTACCTTAGCAAAGTTGGATTAAAGTATGGTATAATGAATTATAGAATTTGATTAAAAATTTTACAAAGTAAAAAAAGATACAAAGCAGCATAGATGGAAAGAATTCGAGGACAATTAAATAACTAAAGTGATCTTGCCAGTTTTAGAGAGTATAGGCTGATGGATTTTTGAAAAGTATATATGGAGCTAAATTTAATCTGATTATTAAATTCTAGTGCCTCTTACATTTCAAGTTTTTTTTTTTAAGCGAAAAATACCATAATCACACAAAAAGGCATTCAGAAAGGAAGCATTAATTGGCAAGCCAAATTATAGTCGGAGAAAGTAAGCATGCAACCAGGGCAAAGGAATAATCTTAGTGGCTAAGTCATTCAATCATAACTTGATGCATATATTATCTTTTGGAATATGGTGTGTGATATTGAGGATACTCTCTCCTCTCAGCAGTGACACTAGGGGCCCAATTTGCAATTCTTGTTTTCTGGTTTCTGCCACATGCAGACTACTCATCTTTTGGTAAAATGCATTTCTTTTTCTTTAGGTGGTTTATAATGTAGTAGATCAGGTTTTTGGTTTGATCATTGTATCAGTCAGGATAAGTTACACTCCAGTAATATATAATCTGAAAATCTCAGTGACTTATAAATTTTGCCTTACAACCTTTGTGCTATTGTTGTCCTACATTTTTACTTTTACATTTATTATAAACCCCATAATACATTATTATTTGGGTTTTAAAGAAATAAAAGCAAAGAAAATATCTTTTATCGTTTATCCTACTTGAGATTTGTTGAGCTTCTTTGATATGTGAATGTATAGTTTCATCAACTTTGGAACATTTTTAGCCGTTATTTCTTCAAAAATTTAACCACCCCCTTTCCTTTTTCTGGCACTATATTATATGTCTGTTAGACCACTTAATATTGTCCCTCTTTATTTATTTATTTATTGAATCTCTCTCTATTTAAATTTTTAAATCTTTTTTTCTCTCTGTTTTATTTGGGATCATTTTTGTTTCTGTCTTTAAAAGTTCACTGACCTTTTTTTCTATAATTATCTAATCTGCCGTTAATCCCACCCTGTGTGATTTTTCATTACAGATCTCATGCTTTTGTTTCCCTTTGTATCCTCGAGCATATGAGCATAAATATAATAGTTGTTTTAATGCCCTTGTCTATTAATTCCATTACCTCTTTGATTTTAGATTTGTTTCTGTTGAATAATTTTTCTGTATTATAGGTGTCCATTATGAGTCTTCATATGTTTAGTAATTTTTGACTGAATGAAATTGTGTTTTTTGTTGTTGCATGTTGGACTTTTTCCTGGTAAGCATTTAATTTTAGCTCCAGTTATAAGATTTAGCCCTTCTGGAATCTCTGCTGAATGAATGCTCCATGTATTCAGCAGAGTTTCTTTATTCTGACTGGTGGGAACGTAAATGATTCACAGCCCCATGTAAACTCTGAGAACTGTTTGACTTATAGCTCTCTAATGATTGTTTTTTTTCCCCCAGAAGTTGTTTTTGCTTGTCATTATGGAGTTTTACTCTGTGCATATAACAATTGGTATATAGCCAAGACAAGGGGAACCCTTATGCAGATTTCCAGAGCTCTTTCTTACATAGCTACTTCTCTTGTACTCTGCCCTGCAAATTCTAGCTGCCTTAGTTCCCTCTGCGCTTTTCTTTGTTTAATTCATTGAGATTAAGGGCTCCTTTTGGAACTCTCCTTGTACTAGTTTTAAAATTACTTCTAGTTAGATATCTTGGCTGAAGGTGGGACTCACTTCATTTGTTTCCCCTTTCTCAGGTATCATAGTCATTTACTATCTGTTTGATGTCTGAAAATAGTTGTTTTCTATATTCTATCCAGTTTTTAGGTGTTTATTACAGGATAGTATTTCTGGATCATCTTACTTTATCATGACTGGAAGCAGAAGTCTTTCTTCAATTTAGAAATGTGTGTTAGACTGTACTTGGATAACGAAATTTTAAGACACCAGAAGACCAATTAGAAGCACTTTTTAGCTATTAGAGATGGGATTTGTTTTATATAAGCTTGAATAGTCTAGACTGTTAGAGCTGGCATGGCTTACTTAATATAGAGTTGTACTCGGAGATTTTGTCTGTAGTTTCTAAGCAGCTGTTTTACTTTTGCAGCAACACAGTGTGATTTCTAATTCTTATTAAGACTTTCATCAGGACTGAAGTGGGCGATTGGTAACATCTAATCAACTTTCACATGAGGCACTAAGGATCACTAGTGAAGGATATCTAGACAGAGATGTTCAGAAGGAGCTCAGGAGTACAGTCTGAGCTGGAGACATAACTTCCAAATTTCCTCATCCATGTTTTTATAGACCATCTTTTTTGCCCATATATGTTTTGTCTGTCCGACTGTCCATCCTTTCTCCCCTGCCTTCCCTCTTCCTTCCTTCCATCTATCCAGTTGTTTGGTAACTTTTATATAAAAACATCTTTATCTCCAAGTTTTAAGTCACCTTTGGAAGTTTTCAGTATATTAAATATTTTCTCATGCATAGTTTAAAAAAACTTGGTGACATTAGATTTAAATTTTGTTATTAGAATATAAAACTACATAGATTCCATAGTCAAGTTTTGGCTTTTGCATATTTTTTTTCAGTAGCTGTGATATAAAAATGCATCAAGTAACAGTCTTCTATCTGGAATCTGCTTGGGATAATGTTCTAAGCATGAAACTAGTCTTTGAAAAAAATTTTTTTTGGATCAACTGCCCTGTTTAAAAGATCTCCATAATATAGTAATTTCTAAATTTCTGTTTCTGGATATCTATTGGTAGTCCACATATATTGTGATTTTGCACCTATATAACTGATTCTGAGGAACAAGAGAATAAGAGAGTGATTGAAGTTAAGAGCTGTTGCTAAACAGCATGGTATCCATGGTAAAAATGCTCACTTAATCGAAACCTTAAACAAAAGGAAAATGACATGATCAGAACATCCTATAAGAGTTTTTACTTGTAAGTATTGCAAAAGTCTTGAACCCTGTGAAACTAGATATAAAATACCAACCGTATTCAAAGATTTCTTTGGGAAATGTAAAGAGATCATTGCACCAAGAAGTCAGAGAGAACTGCAGTAAAGAATGAATGACTAATGGATTCATGTGCTATAACTGGGAAATTTTGATTAATAGGTGGTTTAATGTTAACTATGTTTCTACAATATATTTCTAGCAGAATTAAATACAAGTTTAGAAGTCCAAATGTATGATATTGTATAAAGAATGTAAAAAGAGAAATATACTAAAGTTGTAAGAAGAAATTTTTTAAAGAAATTGTTTTATAAAAGGGAATGACAAAGTGTTATGATTTTCATTAAAATATTTATGAATTCTTTTTACTTTAAAAAAATGAAGAGCATTTTCCAGTTTGGTGGTAGTACCCCTAGTTTATATAGTACTCCTTTCTTGTTTTTACAATTTGACATACTTAATAGGCAGAAAAATAAAATGGAATCTATATTATTTTTTGTCCTTCGTATTGCTTTTGCCAGTAATAAGATTCTTGAGGTTTTCTATAGATATCATTGTTTGATATTTGTCTTAAGCAAAATTTAGTAATTTTTAAAAGACATTAAGTTTATCATTGTTTTACCTCAGTTTCACAATTTGTATTATATTTCTAATCTTGTAATAGTTTTATTCCTTAATTATTGCTAGGCCCGTGTATTTTAAACTTTTATTGTACAATGCTAGAAGATATAACTAAGGGGCTGTATTAATTATTCTAAGTTCATTTGTGTGCTGTGAACAGGGAACCTTCAAAAGATCCTGTCCCACGATCATCCTCCAGAATATTCGGCTGATTTCTATGCCGCTTACATTAATATTCTTCTTGGAGTTTTCTATACCGTCTGCCGAGATTTGAAAGAGCTCAGACATCTGGTGAGTGAGCATTTTGGTTTTAAAAAAATTATATCTTTTAATATTTTTCCATATGGAAATTGTGCGTGGTAGGTTGGAAACTGAAAATTCTGGAAATTTTGACTCGCTCTTTTGAGGCTAATACACCATAGGAAGGTAGAAATCTGTGGGTTAGTACAAACTTTGACCTGATTAGAAAACTTTAATTATGTCTTTTCACTCTTCCGTAGGAGTGTTTTTCTCTCTTCTCTTTTTTCTAATTATAGAAAATGTAGAACTTCATTAAAATCAAAATGAAGAGTAACAAAAAGGTGTAAAAACTTAAGCAATTTTACTTCTTCGTTAATTTTTATAGGACATAGCTTTAAGGTTTTATATATGTAGCGATAATGGTCTGGAATCTAGATGAACTTGAGTGCGGTCTGAAGCTTTAATTACAGGTCTTTCATTAGCTATTGACCTTGCGTTAATAACCTTTATATAAAATATTTTCTAATTTACATAAAAGATTACTTAAATTTTTTTAAACATTATAATAGCTGTTTATATTACACAGGGAGTTTAGAAAATTATCATATTTAATTTTTTCTTTGATCTTTCTTCCACTTTAATTGTGAGGATGTAAAAGAAAGAAGGCAAGAATGTCTGGTTTCCCTTTTAAAAACCTTCAATTAATACTTAAGGTCGTCTCTCCAGGTAACAGAAAAGATATCTAAGGCTGGAAGACAGTTACTTACAAAGTAGCATTCTATATCTCTTAGCACATTTTCTCCGCTTTTTTTTTTCCCGCTCTGAAAAGTATTTCTCAGAGTGATTCAATGTGTGTTTGAGTGTGTATTTGAGACAGCATTAGGAGAAGATGACCATCTAAACTTATGTTCACATTTAGTACATTTTGGACATTTTAGATTTCAGGCCTCTTCTGACTTAAATGTAGATTCAAGCATCTTCTGATTAGGGAAGAAACAAAAGACAAGCTGTTCTAATTCAAGCTCATCATTTAACATCTCTCCAGAAGTTGATTGTTTGGATTCCTGGTGCCCAAGGGAAATGACAGCAGAGGGAGGGGTTTACAAAGAGACTGAGGATCAGTGAACAATCCCTGGGTGAGATGGAGGTAGGAACGAATACTCCACTGTCTTTCCTGGGAAATAACTCGCAGTTACTGCTCCCTTAGTACTGATGTCCCTGAATCCAGTATTAGCAGTCATTTCAAACTGGATTTTACAAGAAGGAAGAATTACTTAGGGAAACTGTTTCTAGGAAAATAAAATGTAAAAGGAGAAAATAGATATTTAAATATGGTATTTTATAAAGTCTTTTGGGTTTGACTGAGGAATGATTTTATTTAGGGATAAGGTTACAGCTTTTTTGGTTATTACATCATATTCACAAACTTGAAGCTTGAAGTAGGGTCTAAGCCTTTAAAAAATTATCTTTAGGCATTGGAGAAAAAAATAACGTAGTGTTCTTATTTTTACCATATGTAGAACATAGGAGAATAAAGATATATATGTTTTTCAAATGGATAGTGTTTTTGTTTCAAAGTTTGCAAGTGGTGTATATCTTGAAAATTTGATAAATCACCTACAAAAGATTCTTTTCAGTCATCTTTTCTATGTGTGTGCTTTTAAATTTATTTTAGGAATTGGTATTTAAGTATTATTTTTTTGAGGCTAGTTCTATACATAGCACAAGACAGGAGACATAAAGTACTACTTTGACTATTCACTTTGGTTTGTCTTCTCTGACAATCTATATAATAGTCCTAAAAAATTGTAATCGTAATTTTTAAAAAGATCAATTGAAGTTATTTTTATACTTTTATAGATGCAAAGCACAGAATAATTCATTTTCTAAATAAACTTTAATTTTTCATTTTTTTAAACATCTGTCACATTGAATTTATTATATTTCCCACATTAAATATATTGCATTAAATGTAAAGGTATTTCAGACCTTCACCCCACCCCCAGATATAATTTTCTTAGAAATCTCAGAAAAATGAATTGCTAAGCCAGAGTTTAGCAGTCTTTTGGAGTACAGTTCTACGTTTCTGATGCCTATTGTTTTGTTTGTCCTTGTGGCTAGTGGTTGCTCGTGACACAGTTACTTAGAAGAGGGTGCCAAATAATTGAAATATATATGGTAGAATGAACAGAGAACTTAATATTAAATATACCTTAGCTCTACTGCTTACCACCTGTGTTATGTTGGGTATGATACTTAATTTTCTGTACTGCATTTTCCTTATTTCTAAAGTGGGACTAAGAATACATACTTCAGATAATTTTTTTTAATTAATTAACTTTTTTTTTATGGTGACATTGATTAACGATAAATTTCAGTTGTACATTTTAACAGTAAGGCATTTATATATTTACATGGTGTGTTCATCTCCCATATTTAGATTTCTTTCTATCACCACATATTTGACCCCTTTTACCCCATCTACCTACTCCCTCCCCCTCTTTCCTCCCCTCTAGTAACCGCTAGTATATAGTCTATGTCCCTGAGTCTCTAGTCTCTGTTTGTCCTGTTCGTTTGTTGCTTTTAGGTTTATATCCCACATATAAGCGATATCATGTGATTTTCAGCTTCTTCTGTCTGGCTTATTTTGCTTAGCACGATTATCTCGAGGTCCATCTATGTTGTTGCAAATGGCAGTATTTCATTTCTTCTTATGGCTGAGTAATATTCCATTGTATATATGTACTACAGCTTCTTTATTTAGTCATCTATCGTAAGATACTTCCGTTGCTGCCATGTCCTGGCCACTGTAAATAATGCTGCTGTGAACATCGGTGTGCAAATATGTTTTCGGATATGGGTTTTCAAGTCTTTGGGGTATATACCCAGTAGAGGGATTGCTGGATCATATAGTAGATCAATTCTTAGTTTTTTGAGGAACCTCCATATTTTCCATAGTGGCTGTACCAATTTTCAGTCCCACCAGCAGTGTATGAGACATCCTCTCCAACATTTGTTATTACTTGCCCTGTTGATTATAGCTATTTAAATAGGAACGAGATGGTATCTCATTGTGGTTTTGATTTGCATTTCCCTAATAGCTAGCGATGTTAAGCATCTTTTCAAATATTTGTTGGCCATATGTGTGTCCTCTAGAGTTCTTCCCACTTTCTTTTTTCTTTCTACTTTCAAAGCATTATGAACAAAGAATATGGTTGGTATGATTTCAACTCTTATATTTGTTGAAGCTATCTCTGTGTCCCAGTATGTGGTCGATTCTTGAGAATGTTCCATGTGCACTAGAGAAGAATGTATAAGCAGCTGTTTTGAGATGAAAGGCTCTTTCAATGTCAATTGTGTCCAGTTGGTCTAATGTATCATTTAAGGATGTTATTTCCTTATTGATTTTCTGTTTGGATGATCTATCCATATCCAACAGTGGGGTATTTAGGTCCCCTATTACGATAGTGTTTTGGTCTGTTTCTCCCTTTAATTCTGTTAGTAATTGCTTCATATATTTTGGGGCTCCTTGATTGGGAGCACAGATATTAATAAGTATTATGTCTTCTTGGTACATGATTCCCTTTATCATTATGAAGTGTCCCTCAGTATCTTTCTTAACCTTTTTTATTTTGCAGTCTGTTTCGTCTGATATTAGTACCACTACTCCCTCTTTTCTCTGAAATCCATTTGCTTGAAATATCATTTTCCACCCTTTTACTTTTGAGTAAATATTTGTCTTTGGAGCTGAGATGTGTCTCTTGGAGGCAGCATATGTTTGGGTTTTGTTTTTTAATCCATTCTGCAACTCTGTGCCTTTTTATTGATGAGTTCAGTCCATTTACATTTAGGGCAATTATTGAAATATTATTGAAATATCAAGTTTTCCTACAGCCATTTTACCTTTTGCTTTCTGGTAGCTCGGTGTTTTCATTGCTTCCTTGTCCTTGTGTCTGTTTTTTAATTTTGGTTGGGTTTTGTGGGTTTTCCCGCTGTTCCTTCTTGTTTTATGTTATATATTTCAGTTCTGAATTTTTTTGCATGTGGCTACATTACGAATATGTAAAGGGATGTTTATATATACGTCCATTTTTTATTGCACGTGCCTTATCTCCATTCCCCTTTACAAATTTGGATCTTTGAATTCTCCCCTTTTCAGTCATTGTTGTCTCAATTCGTCCCTATGTGTGCTGAATGTTCATTATTATCTTGCTGTAGCAAATCTCTTCTTATTATTTAAGCTTGTAATGCCCTGTTCTTAGTAAGGGTTGCACTTCTCTGCGTCTTTGCCTGATAGTCACCTTACTCCTAATTATGTATTTTTTTGTTGTTGTCATTTTATTTTAGGTGAGCTGATCCCTTTCAGTATTTTCTGTAATGCAGGCCTCGTACTGGAGAATGCCCTCAGTTTTTGTATGTCTGGAAAGGTCTTTATTTTTCCTTCATGTCTAAAGGAGAGCTTAGCTGGATACATTATTCTTGGCTGGTAGTTTTAATACAATGTGTCTTGGAGAAGGCCTTTTTGAGATGAGATAATTGGGTGTTCTGTTGACTTCTTGAATTCCAAGCTCCAGCTCATTCCTTAGATTTGGGAAATTCTCTTCGATTATTTGTCTGAAAATGCTTTCTAATCTCTGCTCCTTTTCTCGCCTTTGAGAATGCCCATTATTCTTATGTTTCTTCTGATGGTATCAGCTAGTTCTTGTATTTCTCTTTCATTATTTTTCATTCTTTGGGTTCTCTCTTCTTCCTTCTGATTTATTTCTAGATTTCTGTCTTCGATATCACTGATCCTTTCCTCCATTTGGTCGACTCTATTTCCCAAGCTTGCTATTTCATTTTTCAACTCTTGCAGTGTTATTTATCTTCAGAAGATCTATTCTGTTCATTTTGAGGGTTTCAGTCTCCTTACTCTGTTCATCTAGTTGTTTTTTCAGTTCCTGAAATTGTTGCTGTGATTCATTCCGGAACCCATTGAGTTTTTTCAGAAGTACCATCCTGAATTCTCTGTCATTTAAGTAGCATATTTCTATGTCTGTAAGCTTATTTTC